TACTGACTTCCCAAGTACCATTTTATGCTTTGTTGAACGAGGATAGACAACCCAATCTCATCTGTAATACAAGTGTTATAAATGAAAATGGTGTATATTACAGAGGGTGAGTAATTAATTTGAATTGGTGTGTGATGTAGATGATAAGTGAAAGATACATATGTACGTATATCTGGTTTTAAAAGAGTGCTTTTATATTGTAACTAGTGAATACAGTGTACAATACGGATTTATGTGGTCTGTAATTGAGGTGTTATAAACGAAAGTATGCTCAATGATTGAAAATAAGTATGGGCCCAGTCAACTCTTATCAGTGAGATATTTTCTAAATATATGGTCTATAATATAGGTGAAATGGGAAAGGGAAATGTATATTATGTGTGGTAAGTGCGATATAGAGACGTATCTGGTATGTAAAACAGGGTTGAAAGTATCTCATTTTTCTCATAGTATATAACGTGTTGAATTAGTAGTGATTGTTGAAACGTGACACTCAAATAACCCCATTTAAATATCAGTATACGCTTTATTTTGAAAGTTCTTTTCTTTCTCAGAGACAACGTCAGTGCTCAGATTATATTACACCATCAAACCGACTCAGATGCCTACGCACATGACGTCACAATCAGCGTCATCAGCACCCCGTACGTTAAATACAGCGATTGTACATGGAATAACGAAACAATCGAGACGGGGCCATCACTTATTAGTCAGAATGGATATATAACTCACATTAAGGTGATACACTGTTTCTAATCACATTTAAGTCATTAGAGACTTGAGACTAGCATCTTAAAGGAGGGCTTCAAACGCCACAGTCGTCGCGCTACGTCGACTTGTTCGATATGGATCCTAATCAACACGTACAACCTGTGTACAGTTTACTGTTTCCTGGAACTCTGATCGCGAGCTGTGTGGCGAATGTAGTGATTTGACTGTTGTCTCAGTGTAACAGAAACAACACTGGTTGAAACCAACTACTTTTATGTAATGGGCATCGATGTATTTTTACGTAACCAAAATGTTTAAAATTAAATATTTGTTTTTTCATTTAGTTTGACAGTGTTACCTTCATCGAACAAGTGGAACTTCAACTTACCTTTAATATCGACCCGGATGAACTACAGAATGGCGGTGTCTATATTTTTATCGGTGTTGTTGATATATTATATAAGAGTACACGGACGTCAACGAATACGCTGTCGATGGGTGGTGGCTTTATACAAGTAACGTACCAGGTTCCAGGTATTTTAACAATAATGTTGACAATATACATGACACAAAAATGCCGGTAACAGGGCACGGTGTTTGTCTAACGAAACAATGACATAAGTCGTCGATTTTGATTCACAAACAACATGAAGTACACAAACAACATCAATTCACAAGAAATTCACAGGTATTTTAAAATATAAATCTACGATGTGATAGAACCTGTTGTATTGAACAATCAGAAACATGACCATTGTTTCAATTTAAGACGAAAATATGACGAAAACTGATACACAATAATAATTCTAATATTGGTAATTGTGGATGTATTTGCAACCAAAAACGAAAATGATTTTTGATGCGAGAAAAAAATCACAAAGGCAATTTCCACAATTAGTCTAGGATCATTTGTAATTTCGTGTATTTTTTTTGGTAAAAGCAAAAAGTTACTTGATTTTAAAAGAAGATATCATAAGCTTTAATAAAAATTAGGGTCTGAAATCCAAGATGGCGTCCAAAATGGCCGCCGTTTAGCAATAATTGAATATATTGACTCGTACACATGTTATAACTCAAACAAAGTGTCTAGATATAGGTTTTTGGACACAAGGAAAGCAATGCAATATTCAAATTTAGGCTAAAATTATGATTTACATGCCTATGGTCAAGATGGCTTCCATTCTGAATTCTATTGAATTGAACACCGTAATCTATACAATGATATTGGAAATAAATGTACAAACAAAATAGCTGTTTGATTAAACTAATGTATTGCATGATAAAGTCAAAAAACAAATCTACAAAATTATATTTTAAAACAACGTTAGTTATTGTTCAGTTATTGTATTAATCACAAAATGTCACAAAGTCACATATACAACAGCATAAGTGTGAATTTAGAAATATACATCAATCGTCTTCACACTCATCATTTATCCCTGGTTGACTTGTTTTGTTGTTGCAAGTGAATGCCCAACATCCACATACTTCTGTACAGGGGATATTGTTTTTGCGACAACTACACCTTCCTTCACATCCACGTTTGCATCCGCACTTTATTAGGTGCAGTACTGCCTGAGGAGCTGGTGGATTCATACATCGAACAGGAGAGAAGTTTCTTGAACCTGCGTCAAGTGTCCAACCAAATGCAGTAGGTGCTGGGAGGCTTGGGTGATTTTTATTAGCTTTCTTCCAAATCATGGCTATGTAGTGTGCGCGACGAATATGCAATTCCAGTGAACCTGAAGTTGGTGGAAGGTTTTCTCCTTCGGCTGCACGATTTGAGTAGAGGAACCAGCGAAGCTCATTTACTTTTGTGTGGATTTTTGATCGATACAGCACACAAACAAAGCGTTCTAGCTGGGAGCATGCATCAGGGGAAAGATTATTGTCATTTCCTAGCATTGATAATGATTCCAAGATTTGATCTTCACAAGACATGAATGCCTTGAAGTAACCTGCTGTTCACTTTTGTATGAACTCACGAAATGCTGTGCCAGCACAGATACACTTTGGTTCATGGACTCTGCACTGATGGTAGTTTTAACTTCATGCAAGCCTTGGATAGCATGTTTGCAGAATAGTTGGAGCAAAGCAGGTGGTTCATAATTATCTAATGTTCCTTGAAATTTCCACGGAGTTGCAGTTGCAATGTGTCTCCTTAGAATTTTAGCTGCTTTCATAAGGACCTTCACATCTTCTCTTAGGTTATTCGGGTCATTATCAAGAGCACTGGCTAACAGGGTTTCCTTGGACTTTGTAGAAAGTACTTGTTCTGGTTTGGTTTTGTCTGGAGGTCTGGTGAAATGCACATCAGGGATATTGTCCAAAATTAGTTGCTTTAGGTATGGTTTGTATCTTGGATGATCAGGCAAAGAAAACCTGTTTGCATCTAGCAAAAGCACATATGATTTTTCAATGTCATTCATATTCAAAACAGATTCACGAGTTGTGTTGTTAATTTCCGTTTCTACCATGTCGAGCATCTCAAGATGGGACACTAACTGTGCAAACTGGATAGGATGTTTTGATAGTTGCCTGTTAGCCTTTTCTATGTCTCTCTTTGCATGGCTTAAGCACTTCATGTCCTCTGCAACTGCTGTTAAAAGATCAGATGATGCAACAACATTGCTCATTCTGACTTTCAACTGTTCATTTGCTGTCTGATGACCAATTGCCTTGAGCTGAGCTCCCATGTTTTCAGTTGAGACATCATGCAATTTGTATGATTTGTCTTCTTGGCAAATAACACACATCC